CAACGAAGCTGGGGCACTGCAAGTACCTCAGAAGGCAGGGTTAGCATGGCCAAAATGTGGAAAAGCTTTGTCTGCATGCCACAACAACCAGCACCATCATCTGATATGGAACGTCTTAGCAGGAGGCACCATTTCAGCAACATGGTGGAACAGTGCGTGTGCACACGCCTACACGTACTGCCTGATGGATCTGCCCCATTGAACTTCTGGGTCTCCAAATTGGGCACGTGGGCTGAGCTTGCCCTTTATGCCTTGGAGGTGCTGGCCTGCCCTGCAGCCAGTGTATTGTCTGAACGTGTGTTTAGCACAGCAGGGGGCGTTATCACAGACAAGAGCAGCCGCCTGTCCACAGCCAACGTGGACAAGTTCATGTTTATTAAAATGAACCAGGCATGGATCCAACCAGACTTGTCTGTAGCTTGTGCAGAATAGATATTTATACCAGCCTCACCCAGCCATTGTTATACTCAAGTGCACTTAGTCTTTGTTTTCTTTTTTTATATCTCCCAATATTTTGGGGGGTTACCCCAATAAAAAAAAAAAGAATAATAAAAAAAAAATAACAAAACAAACAAACAAAAAACAGTGTTGGCTACCTCCTCCTCCTCCACCGCCGCCTCCACCTACACCGCCACTGTCACCAACTCCTCAACCTATTGGTCACTTAGTATAAACTATGTACACAGCAGAGGCTTGTGAAGGCCTTTTCTCCATGCATCAGGAGTTGAGCATTTCTCCATGCATCAGGACTGCAAGATATGCACCGCAGGGCGCAAATCTTTCTTTTTTTATATGTCCCAATATTTTGGGGGCTACCCCAATTTAAAAAAAATAAAATAAATAAATTTAAAAAAACAGTGTTGGCTACCTCCTCCACCGTCGCTTCCACTTCACCTCCACAGTCACCGCCTCCTCAACCTATGGGTCACTTAGTATAAACTATGTACACAATAGCAGAAGCTTGTGAAGGCCTTTTCTCCATGCATCAAGAGTTGAGCATTTCTCCATGCATCAGGACTGCAAGAAATGCACCGCAGGCCGCAAATGTTTCTTTTTTTATATGTCCCAATATTTTGGGGGCTACCCCAATTAAAAATAAATAAATAAATAATAAAAACTGTGTTGGCTTCCTCCTCCTCCTCCACCGCTGCTTCCACCTACACCGCCACGGTCACCGCCTCCTCAACCTATGGGTCACTTAGTATAAACTATGTACACATTAGCAGAGGCTTGTGCCTTTTCTCCATGCATCGGGAGTTGAGCTCAGTTTGAACAATGAAAGAGAATACCCTGCACTCCAACCCTCTCTCAAATGGATAATTCTGGTGATCCTCCTGACAGCCATGCTTTAGATTTTGATTTATGTTCTTCCAAAGCTAAATTCAGAGATTCCATCTAGAGCTTTTTTATGGCTCAGCTGTATTTTCCCCATGCATCAGGAGTTGAGCATTCCTCCATGCATCAGGACTGCAAGAAATGCACCGCAGGCCGCAAATGTTTCTTTTTTTATATTTGAATGCAGCCGCCCATCTCATGTGTTCCCTATTAAGGATTAATAATATATCGGGGTGAATATAAAAAATACCCCTTTCTGTCTCATTAGAGATTTTTGTCAGAAGCTCAAGGAAGCAAGGTGAATGGTTAGAGTTGGGACCCACCTGGGGCGTCTGCCTTGACATTGGCAGGTGGGCTTATCCTCTCATGGCCATTGGAGGTAACTAAAAAACCTCCATTTGTTTAAAAATACATAGGGATTAAGGAGAGAGTGCAGGTAACTTGTTTTTCTTTGGTTTTTACTATATATTGGGGCTGATGTGTAGTGTAGTCATTGCTGCCGCCCAGTGATGGGAGTGAGCTCAGGACTTATCTTTCTGCATTTTTCTTTATATACTTTAAATAAATATATAATAAATATTTCTCCTTTATGCTATCTTTTTAGTAACTTTTCTTACTTGACCTGTGAACCAAATGCAAAATTAATACATAATATTTCTGTTTTGTTGTACACCTATTGTCCAATTTCCAGGCTACTTTGGTTCATCCAAATCATTATACCCCAAATTATTACATAAAATTTGGCCAAACTGAAACACCACAAATTCTGAAAAGCTTCAAATAAAATTTATTTTTGGATGAATTGATTCATGCTAACTAGAGTTGAGCGGACACCTGGATGTTCGGGTTCGGCCGAACTTTGAAAAAAAGTCCAGGTTCGGACTCGAACTTGACCCTAAACCGAACCCCATTGACGTCAAAGGGGACCCGAACTTTTGGCCACAAAAATGCCTCTAAAAACTCCTGGAAAGGGCTAGAGAGCTGCAAAAGGAAGTAAAATGTGGGTACGGAAAAGTGTCCTGCAAACAAATGTGGATAGGGAAATCACTTAAAATAACATAAAAATTAAAAATACAGCTGAGCCATAAAAAAGCACTAGATGGAATCTCTGAATTTAGCTTTGGGAGAACATAAATCAAAATCTAAATCATGGCTGTCAGGAGGATCACCAGAATTATCCATTTGAGAGAGGGTTGGAGTGCAGGGTATTCTCTTTCATTGTTCAAACTGAGCTCAACTCCTGATGCATGGAGAAAAGGCCTTCACAAGCCTCTGCTAATGTGTACATAGTTTATACTAAGTGACCCATAGGTTGAGGAGGTGGTGACCGTGGCGGTGTAGGTGGAAGCAGCGGTGGAGGAGGAGGAGGTAGCCAACACTGTTTTTTTTTGGGTTTTTATTGGGCTAGCTCCCAAAATCTTTGGACATATAAAAAAGAACAGAAAAACAAAGAATAGAGTCAGCGCTAGTGTATCAGAAAGAAGTACAAAAGGCAACAATCCTAAAAAAGGACTCCCTCACATGTCCTTGAAATAAATAAGGAAGGCAAACAAACAAAAGGATGGGACTGCGCCAGTAAGCAAAGTAAATAAAATTAAAGTCCTGATTGAGGAAGTAATAATGAAATAGAGTCTAGTATAATGGAACTTAGGTCCTATGTCGGTCTCTGAAGTTGTAGAGTTTCACTCCTTGCAAGTATATGAAGGAGGGCGATGAGTGATGAAAACGATAGTGGTACAGGGTGATCCAAAAGGTATCCAAATAAAATAGAAGAGATTATACTCACTTTTTGTAGAGCTTAATCCAGCTCTGGTATGAATAGCTTGCAGCGGTATGATTTCCACTTATGGGATATGCAATGAGTGTTCTCTTCGGTGTAGTGACAGACAGCCAGGGGGGAGATAAAACGAAAAACAATAATGGTGCAGTATGTTCCAAAAATGGATAAAAAGTATTTAAATATAGTAGATCCACTCACATTTGATAGAGCTTATACTAGCTCTAATGTAGTAGGCATACAGCGGTATGATCCCCGCCTCTGGGATATGTGGTGAGCGTTCTTTGAAATGATTCTTTAAGATGGTAACAGGAGCTCAGGGAGAAGATAAAACAGCAATAGTGCTCTCAGTAAAATAATGCTGGTATATAAAATATAATAAAATGTACTCACAATGTATAGGGCAGGCTAACTGCTCTATGATACAGGCACGGGTGGTATAATCCCCACCTAAGGATTCTTTGGAGTATAGGAGATAATAAGGTAAAAGGCCAGGTAGTTATAATAAAAATAAATAAATAAAAATGTAAATAAAAAGATAATGGTGCAAAAGAATAAAAGGACCAAAATCTATTTATTAACAATAATTAAAAGCAGTACAATACACGTTTCACCAATATAGGCTTTATCAATGGATTAAAATACATTTCAACCTGGCTAGTTGGGGTACATATAGGCTTGGGACAACTTGAAAATTGCGCCAAAACTGCTCTGACCAATTACAGAGCAGATTGTGATTGTACACAAATAACAGCTGTAAACCTTTAACCCATTAAGGACAGAGCTTCAGAAGCTTGTCTTTCACTTAATGACAACAGCATTTTTTTCATTTTTTACTGTTTGCGTTCAACTGCAATTTGCATTTTACTAATTTATTGCACCGACACATATTATATATAGTTTTTTAAAGGACAGAAAGGGCTTTAATTTGATGTAACACACACACGCTTATTTATTATTAAAAAAAAATACAGAAAAATGCAAAAAAATGAAAATTGTGTTTTGTTTTGTTTTTTACAGTTTTTGCAATTATAATGTGTGCATAATTAGTGCAGGTTAAGGAAAGTAATTAAAATAAATTAATTTGGTTGTTCTGGTTTACAGCATATATTATGTGTCTGGGATTTTAAGTTTTTTTGGTAGTTACAGGTCACAAAGCACAAGGAGTAAAATAAAGTTTTAATGTGGAGCGATTTTAGAATTTGGTATGTTTGTTTTGTAAGCTTAATAGCCATAAAAGAAAACAAAATTGCCACATAAAAGTATATATATTTATATAAAGTAGACATCACAGGCTATTTACCAAGGGTTGTTTTGACACTTTCTACGTAGCCATTTCACCGCCAACCTCTGCTAAATATTGGAGTAAAATTGTGTTTTTTTTTGGTTTTTGGCACACAAACTTATAACAAACAAATTCTCATGTGTATTTTGTAAAGTTGGTGTGTGCTATTCCTGTACAAAGTTTTATTTTGTATTCAGTTACATCTGCTGAGTAAAATGACACCCCTATTGTATGTCTTTGGCACTATTTCGTGAAGTTACAGTGCCATATAGGAGGCCTGTTCTTTTCAGTATTCACAGTAGAATTTTGAGAGAATACCCCATTTGGGGTATTATAACAGTTTGACTGTTCAAAAAAGCCCACAAAGGTCTACCATTTGTAAAAGTAGACACTCCAGGGTATCTCATCAGGTGCATATTGTGCCTTAACATGCCCCCATCTTTTCACCAATATATGCCAAAGTATGTGGTAAAAAATAATTTTGTGCGTTTTTTTACACATGGATTGCATTTTTGCTGGGCATTTTGTATATTTCACATGTGCCACTAAGATCAAACCCCCCAAATTATGCTCAGCTAAGTCTAAAAAGAGTAAAAAGAAACCCCCAATGAATGTCTTTGGCACTATTTCGTGAAGCTACAGTGCCATATAGGAGACTAAGCCATATCAGTTTTTACCGAACTTTGAATTTTGACGGTGGGCCTATGTGCAATTTCCAAGCATCTTAGCAGGGTTTAAATTCAAACTACCCCACAAAGGCCTACCATTTCTTAAAGTAAACACCCCAGGGTATTTCAAAAGGTATATTTTGAACCTTAGCGTGGGATCATTTTTCCGCTAGCTTGTACCAAGTGTAGTGGTAATAAGTGTTTTTTTCTGCCTTTTTGACACACAAACTGAGTTTGCACAGTATATTTTGCAAACCTTATGTGTGCTACCAGTGTATAATACTTCATATGTTGCTCAGCTATGTCGGCTGAGTACAGCAATACCCCTGTATGTATCAAGATTACAGAATGATCCAGCACGTAGAATTGTGTAACACAGAGGACTGATCGGTAACTTACACCGGACCTTAGAATGGCCGGACTAACGTACCAAAGAATAGTCAGGAATAGCCAAGGTCAAGGGAAACAGAAAGAGACACAACGATAAGGAAAAGCCAGGAGTCAGGGATGCTAGAAAACAGGGAAGTCAAAAACAATGCCAAAGTCAAATAACCAGAATAACCAGAATCAATAACACGCTCTCAGACAACCACAAGGGAAACCATGACAGGGCACTGAGCAGGATGAGAACTGGGCCTAAATACCCCTCCTCTAGGTCTGATAGGCTGTAACCGGCCTTTGACCCCAAAGGCAGTTACCAGATCTCATTTGCATAATTGCTGCTCAGCATTAACCCTTCTGTGGATTTGGTTGTTGTTGCACAACTTTTCCTGTGTGGACAGTAAATGTCATTAACCACATTTTTGTAAGCGGATGAATACATGACAGTATGTACCTTTGCCAGGTATATGTGGACATCGGAGGGGCACATTTGGGACACAGCCATTCCAGTTTTTTTCAAACTTTACATTTTTACGCTGTGCCCATGTCCCATTATAGAGTATTTTACCAGGCTATATAATCCAAATACCCCATAAAGCCATACCATTTCTTAAAGAAGACATCCCAGGGTATTTCAAAAGTCATATTTTTAACCTTAGCGTGGGATCATTTTTCTGCTAGCTTGTACAAAGTGTAGTGGTAATAAGTGTTTTTTTCTGCCTTTTTGACACACAAAGTGAGTTTGCACAGTATATTTTGTAAACCTTATGTGTGCTACGACTGCATAATACTTCATATGTTGCTCAACTATGTCGTCTGAGTACAGCAATACCACCGTATGTACCTTTGCCAGGTATATGTGGATGTTAAAGGGGCGGATTTGAGACGCAGCCATTCAGTTTTTTTCTAACTTTGAAGTTTTACGCTGTGTCCATGTTCCATGTTCCAATTTGGAGTAGTTTAGATGGTTGTTTATTGAAACTTCCCCACAAACACATACTATTTATTAAAGAATACACCCTGGGGTAATTCAAAAGGCATATTTTGAACTTTAGTGTGGGATCATTTTTTCTCTAGTTTGTTCCAGGTGTAGTGGTAATGAGCATTTTTATATGTATTTTTTTACTTTTTGAAACTTTTTTACTTTTAAAAACTAGTTTTTAAACTTTTGTTTTGCTTATTAATTTTTTTTAAACTTTCCTTAACTTTCTTAAAACTTTTTTACAGATTTAACATTTTTCTAAGCTTTTTTTTTACCGTTAACCCCTAACTAGCAGTACGCAGCACTAACAGTAAATTCCCCATTTTCCCATAACTCCCACCCACCCCAGCTAGCAAAATATATAATTATAAAATATTTAAATTAATTAATTAAATAAATTGAACCCCTGAGGGTTAAAAAAATAAATAAAAGTTAATCCTCAGGGGTTAAAAAAAATTAGATCACAGTATAATACTGTGATCTCTATTTGATCGCTGTAGGCAGTGATCGACTGGCAGGGAAGGGGTTAATTTTTATTTGGACTAGGTAAAGGGTTTTTTTTTTTTTTTTTTACTTAAACGTTATTAAAACTTTTTTTAGCTTAATTTTTAACTTTTTAAAGTTTATTTTAAAACTTTAACGTTAACCCCTAGTTAGCCTAACAACAAATCCCCCAATTCCGCACTAACTTCCACCCACCCCAGCTAGCTAAATATATAATGTTAAAATATTTAAATTAATTAAATAAATGTAAACCCTGAGGGTAAAAAAAAAAATAAAAAATAAAAAATAAAGCATTAACGCTCAGCGGTTAAAAAAAAAAAAAATAGATGACAGTAAAATGTAATCCCTGCCAATTGATCACTGTAGTCAATGATCAATTGGCAGGGAAGGGGTTAATTTTTAATTAAAATGAGTAAAGGGGGGTGAATTTTAAATAAACTTTATTTTTTATTTTTTAAACAGGGGGCAGGATCAGCACTGTTTCGGCTCCCTGCACTTCACACAGAACCAGGAAGTGCAGGGAGGCGGAAGGTGAGTATATGCAGCACATGTGCTCGCTCTGACAGCATGTCAGAGCGAGCACATGTGCTGGCGTAGCCTGATCGGGAGCTCCCGGTTTGACTCTAATACAGAGGCAGACCAGATCACCATTAACCCCGCGATCGCCTTGATAGCAGCGATCCGGGGTTAATTTTAACGGGTGACTAATGAGGTCCGTCACTCGTCGTTATGGCAATCCCCTGAGTGACGGACCTCTTCCGTCACTCGTCGTTAAGGGGTTAAGAGTCCATAGATATGACTTATGGGATGTGGAATATATAATTATGTTATAAAAACGAGGGTGTAATAAAGAGAATTTTCGGCATATTAGCCGAAACATGTGACGCGCATCATAGGCGTGACGTCACTTCCGGTCGCTCGGTATTCTGGGGCATGTAGTTGTATAATGAACTACTGGTCACGGCGGCCATCTTTGTAGGGGAATGGGCTGCAGAAAGCTATGTAAAAACATATCGGTGGCCATGTTAGATGTGGCAAGAAACATTAAAGTAACAAATGAACACATATTCGTAAAAAAGAGGATTAAAAGAAGTGCAATTAATGGGGATACATAAATAAAAAGGGAAAATGACTTTTTACAATATGTATGGAACATATAATAGAATATGGCATAATAGCAAACAAGGATACGTTCAATAAAAACAAAAAATAAATAAATTAATTAATTAAAATGAGATTGGTATATATGGGCTAGTAAGAGGTATATAGAATAGATGAGGATACAAATGGTTAAAAAGCAAAATATAAAAATAAATATAAATAGGCAGTAATGGATAGTAAAAATAAAAATTTTAATTAAAAACCCATTCCATTTCACATTTTCCCAAAACATTTTTTATATTGCCTCCTCTCCATGGAATAGTACATTTTTTTATACCAATACATTTTAAATGGCCTGGATCGTTATTATGGATAGAAAAGTGTTTAGATACAGTGTGGTTTTGGTATCCATTAGTAATGTTACGACAATGTTCGCCTAATCTCGACTTGAGGCTCCTTGTGGTCATGCCCACGTATTGCAAACCGCATGGGCATTCCAGGAGATAAATTACATTCTTACTTTACAACAATTACACTTAAAGAACCCTTTGGTATTGGGTAGGAAGCGGGATTGGGGTTTTACAGCATCCTCCCTAGTAAAGTTGGAAGTTAAAATTGATTTAAAGCTGGGAGCTCCCCTGAATACAACATTAGGTCTTCCTGGTATGATTTCTTTCAAAATATCATATTGTTTAAGCAAGTGCCAGTGTTTATTTTTTTTTTTTCTTGACATGACTGTTTTTATTGTTAAAATTTAATATAATGGGGAGACTGGGATGGCTATTAGAAGTTTTTTCTTTATAGTTGATTTTTTTTATTTTTTTTAAAATTCTTTATTTTTGCTCAACAGACATAGCAAGCAAGCATCAACGTTTGGGCTTACGCAGAAGCCAAATTAAGAGTAATTTCTTGACATAGTCATGCAATTCAATCATTACAATATATTCCCATGCTTGATGGAACCATTAGGGCCTGCCATCCGTTAAGGGTTTTTACATACATAATATAATTCCCTAATGTATTGGTTTGACAGGAATACTCAGGTGTGCATGAGAAGTGTCACTTACGCAGAAGCAAACTTTGGTATAACATTCACTTGTATAATATGTTTCATTTGAATCTTGTGGCGTTTTTGAGTATCTTTAACGTCAGTATCTGGTCGAAAGTTTTATATTTTCAGGCCTTTAGGTATAACTATAGGAGTAATAGTCTAAGATCTGTATGATATTTTTAGATCTCCCATTTCCTTCGTTACGTTGACCATGCCTGAAGAGGTTTGTATACGGAATACATATTAAATCAGGAAAGGAATCTTCCCGTTAAGAGACGGGAAGTGAAAGAAAGGAGAGTAGAGAAAGAGAGACTGAGTATGTAGTACGAAGTAAAGGAAGGTAAGATAGTGGGTGCAGCATCCGGGAAGCGGCGAGGGAAAAGGCTAGGGGGCGAGAACCAGGGGGAGGGGGGGACGGAAAGGCACTTCCAGGACCCCTTATGCCATGTTGTGTGGTGATTTAATCCCCCGGTCGGAGGAGACCTCCGTTACTAGGTCACCTTTACTTCTTCCTTTCGTTCTTATCTGTCTTCCCTGGATCCCGCTACACTATTATCCCATGGCTCCCAAAGTCTTAGAAATGTTTCTGTCGATCCCTTTATTCTTGTTGTCAGGTCGTCCATAATCCTATATTCACGGATCCTGGATATCACTCCCGGAAACTCAGGTCCATCTGGTGATAGCCACCCAGTTGCTATTGTTCGTTGTGCGCTTAGAGTTATTTTATGGACTAGTTTCTGCTCTCTCTTGGTCCATCCATCTATAGACCTGTTCAATAGGTATACCCACGGATCTCTGGCTAAGGGCCTGTTAAATATTTGTTTCAGTAGGTCTTCTGTTGCTTTCCAAAATCTAACAAGTTTTGGGCATTCCCGCCACATGTGAAGGTACGTTCCTCGGGCTCCACAGCCCCTCCAGCAATCATCCGTATACATTTTGTGCATTTTATATAATTTTACGGGGGTTGTATACCATCTAAACATGGTTTTCCACGTCTGTTCTTGTAGTGTGACACATATAGAAGCGTTTTTATTTGCTTCCCATATTTCTTGCCATTCAATGCCTTCTAGCTCTTCTCCTAATTCTGTCTCCCATTGGTCGGTATAAGATAGTCACCCCCAATCTTTGGTTTCTGTGCTAAG